TTTTCAATTGTTAACCTTAACACTTTTTAAAAATCAAATGAAATTCTAATATTTATTTTAAATTTTATTTACTGTAATAATATTTGTTTACAATACAATAACCCTTCAATTTAGTTTTTACGGCACATGGAAATATTACAATGATGTATAAAGGAAGTTTTCCTGTAGAATAAAGTTAGCTAGAGAAAACGTTCACTTTGTTTTTAAATTAGTATGTTCGTACAGAGAATGTACTCGGTTCTCACTAATTTGTAGTTTGCAATGCAAAAATCGTAGTTGTCATGCAAAATTCATGGTTTTGAAGGGATTAGAATTGATCTTTCCGAATTAATTTGGGTTGTACCAAAAATTTTCCGCTAGATTTCAAAATATTTAAGTGTTTTTCAAAATTTATTCATCGACCAATTAAAAAGGTATTTAAATAGTTGTACGTAAAGTCCTTCTTTGACGAATATTGAGTAACAAATTTAAGCCATTTCTCAATTTTACTGGAGGGGCTACATTTAGTTTTTAAATTCATAGAAAAATACAGCAAACATTGGCATATTATTTACTTCTGAGTCGGTAATCATTGAAATATACATTTTCAAACTCATTGTTGGTTGAGACTACCTTTTAGATGGTCCAATCGAAGAGTCCGATATTGAGTCATTTTTTTCAATCGAAGAGTCCGATATTGAGCCAGGGTTACAGAACTGCAATCAATCCTAGATGATCATATATATAATAGATTTCACGTATAAATCTGCTCAAAGAAAATACTTTAAAGGTGTTCAATTGTATTGAAGCTTGACTGAAACATGAATTAAATTGCACATTGTAAAATTAAGTAAAAAATCAGAGTCACTGTATTTGGAAACTATTATATTATAATTATTATGAATGAATGAGAATGAATATCAACCATTTGAATAATAAAAATTTTTACTTTATACAAAAAAATTTATTACTTTAATGCAAGATTCAATTAAATTTTTTTTTTCTTTTATTTTGTTTGGTTTTTAATTATTTTAAATTTAAACAAGTTTTTTTCTTCCCATTAGGCTATTTTATTTCAAATTGATTAAAATGGAAAATAATTTTAAATTTTTTGAAGATCACTCGAAAATAAAACTGTTCTGGTGACTTAAATTTTAAGTCTATTTTAAAATGAAACGAATGAATGAAAAAACTAGAAATTAAAAGAACAATAAATTGAATTCATCAACTTGTTTTTTCTATTTCGAATAAATAAATTCTAATAAAGCAAAAATTTACTACTTATATTGAAAGACAATGAAGTCGCCTCTATTATTTAAGAATTTAGACACTGCGGGTGTCTTATTTTTCTGATTGAGAAGCTTTTTTTTAATTGTTAAATGATGAAAATTGAAGATTTTTAAAAAAAATTCTTTAATTTTTTTTTCTGAAGTCTTAATGGTTTATACTAATATTTTCGCTCTAGTAGTGTAGTATCCAATTATTCTTTGATTTAATTAGAACACAATTTTTTTTAATATTATATAATTAATGTTAATGTATACGAGTTAAAAAGAACAATTGTATCAAAAGATCAATCATATATGAAATTCAAATTTTTGTGACGTTAGAGTGTATTGTGTGTGATTTCATTATGCTTTATTAATGTGTCATATTTTAATTAAGCTTTGGTTTTTATAGGGTAAACTACCATCATATGGTATAAGTCATCTTACAAATAACCATATAAATTTGCATTAAAATATTCAGGTATGATGTAATACGACTTTGTGCATTTTGAATTGTTGAACTTGTTTGACAAGAAATTGGATTTCTATTATAGGAACATAAAATAATATTCTTTTTCTTTTTAGTGATCTAATTCTTATAAAATACTTGAAATTTAAAATATTTTTAATAAAAATAATAACAAGTTTTTTCCATGAAATTAATTAAGTTTCTAAAATATGCAAAAATTTCCTAAATTTCGGAAATGCTTTAAATAATGCGGAATATTTGATTAGATTTCTACACTTACATTCGACTCCGTACAAATATTGAATTGCTGCAGTCTGAAAAGTTCATTGTAATATCTCGAAAAATCATAAAACAACTTTGTTCCTATAAATTCATCACAGAATCAAGTTTTAGGAAATTGAAGCTTTAGACGCAATTTCAAATTGCACAACTATGAAATCTTTTTATTTATAAAAACGATGCTCTGCGATGCTTAGACGCTTTCGATTAACTGTGCATATCCTTAGATTTACTCATTCAGCATGCTTAAAAATTTAATTTCGTTTTTGCAGATCGCATTGGATACAATTAGGAAGGGTTATATGATAGCACCAAATTTCGGACGTCGAGTTTTCGGCGAAAAAGTACTTCTCCGTGGTAGGGAATCGTAAATAAACTATTTTTAGAGAGATGTTGATCTATGTGGGCTCACGTGTATCTCAAGTTCAGTTGAACCGATTTTGATAAAATAGTATATATATTATGTATATGAGTTTATTTTACACTTTCGCTAAGCTTGACAATATCCATTGCGTTCGGTTATTTGCTGATCACATTAGATTTTTTACACATATTTGTTTTCATTTTTTGAAGTTTCAAGCCTTCTACTGATAATTACAGTTATTCGCGTCCATGTAATTTAAAAAAGTGCAATTAAACTTTTATTATACAAACTCAGCGATTTTTAGTTCAACTCAATTTATATCCCTTTCTTTAGATGACCAAATAAACTTAAAATATTATGCATTCCACATACTCGCAAAATATTTTGAACATAACATTAACATTTACCTACATAAATACCTGCTTATAAATTTAAAATTTTTAAAATATTTTTTATTATCGGAAATTGCATTTAAATTTTTATAGCATGTTTATTAACACAAAATTTTTAATAATGATTATTTGTAAACGTTATTTTACATAAAATTTGCAACGCATTCTTTCTTTTTATTACAATATCCGCGTATCTTCCTAGGCATACATATAAATTACAAACATAACATTATTTATGCATGTATGTTGTATGCGTACGTACACAAAACATGCAAATATCTACCTACCTACTGTTTCATTCAAAAATTTGCTTCCTTTTTTTCTTGTTTTCTTCTTCTGTTGCTAAATGCATAAAAAAACATTTAAATTTTGCTGAATAAGAATAAAACTGTTCGAGAAACAAAATAACGGGTCAAAAATCAATTTTAAATATAATTTTAAATGTACAGTTTAATAAAAAATTAAAAAAAAAACAACAAAACAAAAACAAATTGAACAATTTTTATAAGAAATTATTAAATTTATCAAAACATTAATAATAATAGAAAGATTAAATAAAAAGAAAACAAGTTGAAAGCAAAATAAAAAAAAATTTAAATAAAAGAGAAAAAAAAATTTAAATTTTTTACGCAATTTTTTTTATAAGATTTGTTCGTGTGTGCGCGCATTTAATTCTTCAACCTTTTCCTCTTTACTTCTTATTTTCTTTTCTTTTCTTGACTTTTCTTTATTAATACGTTTTCGATGACGCAAGTTCCATAAATTTGGTCATTATTAAAGTGTTTTGATTAGGAAGAAATTGAAACTGAATTGAGGCTGACGGAAAAAAAGTATCTAAATTGAGGAGAGAGAAAGAAAGAATAATAAAGTAGCAGGGTTGCCATATTACTATACGATACTTTAAAAAAAGTTGAGTCAAATCAGTGGTTTGCAAAGTAGCATTTTTATCTTCAATAACACTGTTAAAAACAATCTATTTGAATTAATGTCATTCATATACCAAATTATTTAAAAAATATTGCATACTTTAAGGATGGGGGAAAAAAAAATTTGAGAGTCGATAATATAATGATAAAATTTAAGGGTTAAGATAAATAGTATATTTTGTTAGCTTGACATTTCCCGTTATTCTGTATTTATAGAAATTAGGAAAAGTTTACAGTTTCAGAAATATAAGGTGCCGAAAATTTAAGTTTAAAAATTTCGGGAGGCGATAACTTGATCAAGGTGGAAAAAAATTTTCTTTTAGCGAAATAAACTACATGTTTGTAGCTAACAGTTGAGATGACCAGAGCGGTGGTCAGACAAACACCACAGTGACAAGAATTTTCCTGTATTGCTTATTTAATTATTTCCAAAATTTTAACATTATTCATTCACTTTTTTCTGCGAAGATGACATTTTGACCTTTTAACCAATGTTACAAAACAGTTGAATAAGAATATTTTAGAATTTCAATTTTGAAAAATTAGGAATGTCATAGAAATGTTACCAAATTGCATATAAAGTTACCACGTTTAATAAAAAACTACCAAAATGGCAATCCTATTTAATAGCAGTAGTAAAGTAAATGATGAAAAGCGAAAAATAAGAGAGTTCAATAAAATGAAGGTGTGAGAGAGAAAAATTAAGCAAAAAAGAAGCAAAAAACAATAAAATATAATTTTACTTTAATTTTTATATAAAAAAAAACAGCAAAATAAAAAAAATTGAAACGATCAAAAAGCGCAAACCGCAAATCGTAACTACGTTAAAGCTTTAATTTCTTGATTCGTTTTAATTGAAGTTTTGACGTTAAACTATTAACATGATTTTGAACGGTAAAAACGCGCTGTGATCACGGTTAATATTTTGTGTTACTTTTTATTTTAATTTATTCTTTTTTATTTTTCGTCTTGTTTTTTTATGATCTCCGCTTATTTTTTTTATTTAGTTTAAAAAAACAATTTTTTTTATTGCGGTTTTTAAAGCTTGTCTTGAAATTTAAAATTTTTTTAGTGTTGGAAGAAAGTAAAAATATTTTTAATATTTTTGTGTTTTAAATTTTCTAATTATGTTTTTGGTGAATTAAAATCAGTAATATAAGATTAACAGTAAAAAAATGAAATAATGCAAGAAATTTTAAATTGATTAATTTGACAAAAGAAAAAAATTTTAATTAATGTGGAACAATTTTCGCTCAGTGTAAATGCTTTGAATTTGAAAATTAAAATTAAATAAAATAAATATCAAAATCAAATTTTTAAAATCTGGGATAAAATATTGTGTAAAATAAAATAAATAAAATAAATTGGAAAAAATTTTAAAATATAAAATAAAATATACTTAATATTAAATGCAAAATTTTTATAATTTGTCGCGATGAAGGAAAGGAATAATTTCAAACAAGGTTTGTTAATTCTGTTGCAGTTATGTGATTTTAATTTTTGCAGTTTTTACAAATATAATTTTGTTATTTTAGAACAAATTTTATTCAGAATAATTGACAATATAATCGCTATTTAACTAGTTTAAGTACATTAGGAAAATTCAAGAATAAGAAAATTTTCGTGGCAATTCGGCAGCGATAACACTTCGCTGTAAATCTGTCATTATTTCATAATGCAGATGCATAATCTTAATGTTCACGAGATTTATTATAGATTTTTCTGTTATAAGTTATAAATCATATATAATTATAATTAGTTTACGTTTTAATAAACGCTTAATTATAAATAAACACTAAATAGAAGAAATAAAGTGGAAATTAACAAGAAATAAAATCTACATACATTGTTTAACAATATCTTTATTGATACTTTGACAACATCTTCAATTTCCTTGATAAGTAGTTTGCGAAAATTAGCGCATCACATGCGGCGATTATAATACAAAAAAAAAATTAAATTTTATTTATCTGATCCATGAAAACCTTTAATTTTTGAATTTTAAACTAATGCGACTTGGTATTCGCTATTTAATTGTAAGTGAGCGAAAACGTTAAAATTGCATATTTCTAGGTACAACATATCATAATTTGATATTATGAATTTTGATATTACAGAAAAGAATTACTTAAAATGTTTTAGTACATTACAGTAAATAAATGTTTTAGCACATTTTAATTGAAAAACTTTTAGAAATGACTGTCAGTTAAAATTATTAGAAAAAAATATTTTGTTTCATGTAAAATTCAGGGATTAAACTTGTTATTGTTTAAAATTCCAAAGATAAGATTTTTTTTTTGCAATTATTAAATATTAGGAAATTCCTTACTCTTTCAACTCGAATACTTAAAAAATTTGAACTATCTCAAATAAAATCGGGGTAAAATTATCGGGTAAAATTCAAAATTAAATTATCATTTTGTAATTGAAAAGCTATTCATATAAAATAGTTAGTTATCAAGTTTTAAGTTTATTATAAAATTTTGTATTTAATTTTGGGCAATTAAAATAATTGCAGAATTCGGTTAAAGCCACTGATAATACCGTTTGCACACTCATTTTTTTTTCAAACACTAAATTTTATTGACTCTAAAAACCAAATCATATCTAAAGAATCTTTGAAAAATAACTTTCATCATAGCTTTTTTGAATCTGCAATTATTTTTAGTGACAAGAGACGAAATATTTTATTTCCCAGCTATCAAAACAGTTCAATCTTAGTACTAATCTTTAAATTTAGAATACAAGTAAATTTTCCATATTAGAATAAAAATTGAATTTTATGGCATAGGCAATTTAATGATAATAAAAATAAGACAAAGCAATAATAAAAAAAAGGTGCTAGAAAGGCAATTAATCAAAATTTTAATTATTTGTGTAATAAAAATAAAATAAGGAGGTAATAAAAATAGTAATAGGGAAAAAATTAACTTTACTTCAAAAATTCAATCAAAAATCTAGAAAAGAAAAAACCTTTATTTTTTGCCATTATGATCTTAAATCGCGATTACTTTTATGGTTTCTGTTGTTTGCTCCGATTTGTTATTACATTTCAAAGGGGAGGAATCGGTGGGTTTAGTTCAAAAGTTCTATTATGTTAATTTTTTTTTCTTTATCTTTATATATGTATAATTTCTCGAATTCATATAAACTTGGATTTTATAAAATACTAGAATATTTTATAACACACCTTAAAAGTTGATAAGCCCGATTTATGTGTGTTTTTTTTTCTTGTTTTTTGCAAAAAAATATGTTTATTAAGTATATAATATAAATTTAAAATGGGGTTGCCAACATTCGAAGAACAGAGAATAATTTTCCTAATAATAAGATTATAAATTTGTTTATTCTAGTTTCAAGAATGATTCCTTTATTGAAATAATGGAATTGTAATAGGAGGACATATTGTAGGGGTTAGGAATACCTTGAATTTCAAGAATTTTTAATAAAAAAGAAAAATCATGAAAGAAAAAGTCATGAATAAGACCGCTGCCTAGAAAGCTGTAGGTGACTGATTGGAGTCAGAAAAGTTTATTAAAAAATTTTTTAATACTTAAACATTTCTGCCTTATCTTGTTCCTTTGATTATGTCATCCATCTTTTCTGCATGTGTATGAAAAAATTTCAATTACTTATTCTTAAAAGAATCATGATAAAATATTGTTTATAATTAATTACACATTGTATTGGTTATTTTGGCCATTTTAATATTATTTTGAAATTTTTGACATCACTGAATTAAAATTTGAATTTGTTCAATAAATTTCAGGGAAGTTTTTAGTATAAATGGACAATATTACCTGACAGAGTTCCAAGCGACATTTTAATAATATAATATTGCTGTACTTACTTACTTATTAATTAAATCTGATTATTTTTTCTTGTGATTGTCATATAAATACGGAATGCTTCCGGATTACGGAATTACGGAATGTGATTCTTAGTCCTAATTTAATAATCATACAAAAGTCAAGTATTTTGTTTGCTTTTGTATTTTGGTACATTATGTGAGAAAAGTATCGATGTATTAAAATTTAATATTGTGAATGTAAACCATGACATTAAAATTGTTCCAATAAACTAATTTTGATTATAAATAATTTTGTGAACCAAATGTATCAATTTTAAATATAAAAAAACAAGTGACCAAAATTTTAATAAATATTAAATTACAGGTGATTGTACTCACCTATAATAATTTTTTTTTTGTTTCGTTTTGCGCATTTATGGTAAAACAATAAAACACTTAATAATTTATTTTTTAAAATTTAATGTGTAATTTAATCGGTAAAAAATAAAGCAGAACATTTCAATTTTTTTGGATTTTCATAAATGGTTCAGTAGTTTTTTGTGTCATATTTTGTTTGTTGGTCATGTTTTTTTCTCCCTTATGATTTATGATAAAATATAACAATTATGCAGATCTTATATATAGAAGTACTCATTTAAGAAAATATTTTTGTTGTTGTGTTTTAATAAGTCACGAAACAAATAACAAGAACCGAACCTAATAATTTTTTTTTTGGAAAAAATTTTTTGAGAAAAAAATTAAGAATATTAAAAGAAAATTAATATTTTACTGTTATTTTTTTCAGTGGAAAAAATTCAATTCAAAAATATTCTAGTTATAGCTAAAAACAGGAAAGTAAGCTGTGTGGCTTAAGTGTAATTTATACTATTATTTACAATATATTTGATTTAAGTTAAAATTTTCTTGGTTCAATAATTTTGGCTTGCCAGTTGTCAGGTTTGATTTTTTCTTTTTGTGTTTAGGACACTAAATTTGAATTGAACTTATAATTGAGATTAAAAGCTAAAAGATTTTAAATATTAAGAATTTTTTTATTTGACGGACACCCAAAATCTATGAACCAAATCTCATTTATGTACAAAATCACATATATTTTTTTCATAATACATAAATGTATTTTCCGAAATAGAGAGTTTCCTGTTCGCCTAAGTTAATTGTTTATTAAGGGGAGATTTTTGTTATAGAGAGTTTATCTTATAAGGGAATTCTAAAGCTACTGTTGAGTTGAGTTCTAATACAAACATTTCAATTAAATACATTTTATACTTAGTACATTTTCTATTTATGACAATAAGAAGCTGTTTAAAAATTTTCGTTCAAATTAACATGTTCCGTGTTCAAAACGAATAACACTAAATTCGTTTATTTGAACGAATACCAACTAAAAATTAATTAAATATCGTAATTGAAAATGCCTCTTTGTTGAAAATTTCATAGACTGTAATCAAATTGTAGGCAGTTAAAAGTTATAAACTAGTATTTTAAGTAATTCTTATTATTAAGACCAAAAATGGAAACGCCGACATTATTATTTTATGATTTTACACTATTATTCTTAGAAAAGTTATGATTTTTGTAAAAGTATACAAAAAATTATTGAGTTTTGTCAGCACAGTAAATGACAAATCACTTTTGAATTCTAAATTTGTAATGATTCACATACTATACAGAAAGTAAACTACTTAAGTATTAAGTATTTATAAGGTTAGTAAATTTACGATATTGTATATTTTAAAATCATTGACTCATATGACATGATTTTTTGCTATTTTATATTTTTTTTGTATTACTAATCTATCGAAAGTGTTAAATAATAAAATACGAGCAGTAGCTAATAAGGTTGGTCAAAGTGTATACTTTAAAAATGTAGTTTTATGGTTCTATAAAACATCAGCGTGCGATATGCGGTAAATTTTACAGAAAGAGTTTTGCAATATCTTAATAAATTCGGTTTGCAAAAAGATTTGGTCGATATATTTGCATTAGAGGCGATTTCAATTTAAAATTAATTATCTGCTATAAATAATAATTAGATTAAAATATGCAATAATAAATTTTTTGTTTTACAAGCCGAACTGGCGACATTAATGCAAAAATTTATTTGTATAATTTTATTATAGTTTTTTTTTATATAATTAAGAATTTGTAATGAATTATTAAAATAACAAACTTTAAGAAGAATAATTAAGTTCATTATTATGTTAAATGGAAATCTTCGGCAAAATTACATAGAGAAATTCTACGAAACTTATAAAAAAAATTATCACAATTTAAAAACAAATTTATTCAAAGTATAACAAATAAGTACTTATTTGCTTTTTACAATAATTCATTAATTATTTTAAGTTTATTCTATGATTTATTTATTATTTGAATATAACACTTAAAATTCATAAGAAATTTGTTACAAAAATTTTATTGTTATATTCGGAATTGTTTGAAGATATTGTAAATTTATGAGCTTATTTTAATTATTTGTAATACATAAATCAATTTGATATAAAATTCGTTCTGAATTTATAGTGAAACCATGTATACCGGTAATTGGTCGGCTGCCTCAAATAAAATTTGCTATAGTACAGGAAGCTACCGAGAAATCAATTAAAATTTAAAAATTGTTGGATTTTTTTCAAGAAAGCATTCTGATTTTTT